TATTGAGATGTTGTATAAATAGGTACGGGTGAGAGGATTGCATTTGGATAAAAGCAAGTATGCGTGGTGAGAAGTATTCTCACTATGCCATGCGTCGCGACTTGTGCTGCATGCATCGCGGTGCATGGACCAGAAAATGACTTCTTAAGTTATGAAATTTTAGAAATTTTATATGGAAGAAATTTAAAACACATGAAAGGGAGAAGAGAAAAGTGAGGGGTTGTTAGCACAAGAGACTTCAGAGTTGTGGAAGGTACTTCTGATCAGTTACTTAGTGGGTAATGCAACGTCCTGAGTTTTTAATCTTACGTTAATGACTGATTAAGAATGAATTAGCAATTTAATATGGGATTAGGGTTTTGAGTAGTGAAGCATTATATTGACTCATTGTGGTGGTGTATGAATAGATATGAGTAGAAGAACGGAGTCTCGAAGCAGAGCATGTAAGCATAGTAAGGATTTCCCTCACTGTGCCACACACCACGGTAGGTGATAGATGAGCTATAGTGCATGAAGCAGAATTCAGATTAATAAGATGTGTCTAGCTCATGGAAAATAGAAGGGAGAACATAAGAGAAGAGATCTGGCGTGGAGAAGAGCAAAAGGTGTGTTAGGACAAGCTAAATTAGGAGTAAGGATGGTGTCTCCGACTTGTTACTTATCAAGTAAGTCACGTACTGCCTTAACCTCCAAATCTACCCTATTTTTTCTTAGTTTTACCTAATGAGAAAGTGAATTTGAGAGTTTTAAGGAGTTAATTTCTTACCCTATAGTAATACAAAGGTTCTTTGGAACTAAACTAGTGCTTTGTGACTGGTTTAAGTTGAAATGATAAAGTTTTAAAGTTGTAACCAAGAATTTCCTCATCTAGAGAGAGAGTAGTGAGAGAAAATCGCTAGAAAATGTTAAAGTTTGAAATGAGGGCGATCATGGGATGTGTGTGATGCAATGAATTACGAGAGAGGAGCTTAAATAGGGTTGAAGTTACACAGGTAACCCTTTCTATCGAACACAAAGGTTGAGGTAACCATATAGTTTATTATATTTATTAACTATTATAATTTGTGTAAAAGTGAATATCAAATAATAAATAGGAATTTATGAGTTTTTACACTTGATTGTTATTGAAATGGTTTTTAGCATGAACTTTACATTATGAAATGAATTTGAAAAGTGATTGAGTTCAATGGATATATACATATATGATATATAGTATATATTATGGGAAGGTGTATAAGTAGTGAAAATGTGAAAGAGCCTGATCATAGGGGTGGGAGTTCACCCAGGATATGTAAGGATGTGTGTGTGTGGAGATATGTGAGTGAAAAATTCATATGGTTGAGTTGGCACCATGGGACATCCGATGTAACATTATACAAGCTGTTACCATGGGTAATTCGGTACAGCATATTATGGCACTGTTACCATAAGACATTCGGGTAGTCTAGCAACTCCCTAGTGCCTGTTAAGGTGTGGTTAGGAGTCAACAACACCTCTATCATAAGTTTGTGAAAAGAAAACCATAGTTCATGGGTGGGTTAGATTACCTTTGGGCAGGGTATTTCTACCATCAAAAGTGAGCTCGGGTCAACAAGTGGTTGATCTAAAAGAGCCTATGATTTGTGTGTTGGGGAGCTTTAGAGGATCAGTGGATAGTTGATCATGCCAATATGTAAAAGTATTTGAAACATGATTTATATTCGAAAGTCATGATTTAATTATAATTATATATATATGTGCTATAAGATGATTTCAGTTACTTTGGCATGGTTATTTGGTGGTAATAGACATTTGATGAACTATATTTGGTTATTGAGATTTTATCTCACCCTTGGTTATTCACATTTTTTAGGTTTGGGTGCTAGTGGTTCGAAGGGGAAGACATTGGTTGAGTTGAGATATCTCACTAAGCCTTTGTAAGGTTTTGGTGTATGAATTTGATTGTTATTAGTTTGTATATGTATAAGTTGCCTTAGGATTTATATATATGCATAAGATATGATTGTGGTAGTTTTGTGATTTTTAAACTCCCTAGCCCTTGTATAAGTGTGAATGATGAAATGATGGATGGGCTGGTGGATGGATGTAATTATGTATGAATATAAAATGGGTAAGACTATGTGTAGTGATTTGGCCATTTATGAGATTAAAGAAATAAAATATGAATTTGGCCTAAAAGGTGACATGGGTGTTTTGCAGGCTAAATCTGTGTATGGTGTGTTATATTGTGCATGTATATGGTCAATTAGGTGTGTTATGTCCATTTGGATGTGGTCAAGGCCTAAAGAGTGGCTAATGATGTTTGTTTCCAAATTGAGACACTTAAGTAACAAAAATTTGATAGAAAATGGTCAAAGTGCATAGTGTCAAATTTTTGATAGAATATCAGATTGAAATGAAACCAGTGTCATTAGTTAGATTTAAAACAAGCTTCGTGAGGGCGCTTGAACTATCTCAATCGAATATTGTATGTGGAAATGGCATACATCTGAATTTCATATCAAAAACTGCCATTTGACAGCAAAATTAGGTGTGTGCGCTGCAGCGGATGTACTCACATGCCACGGCCCATGGTACAGAGTGAGCAACCATGGCCTCTGTGCCATATGCCGCAGCGCATGTGGCATGAGCCGCGGTGCATGGTGCAAAATTACACTTTATTTTTCTTGTATGCACATGTTTTCTTGATCTTTAATACCCAAGTCTAAATTCTTTTACTGTGTATGGGGTTGAATAACCTAAGTGATTATAAAAGATTTCTAAAAATCTTTTATTGGGATCCTAATGCTTTCAACATTTTCAATTTAAATATTTTTAAAGTAATTAGCAATTTTGTAGTGGAGTGTATGGTAATGTCAGTCAGGGCATTAGAAGTAAGCTAAGTATAACCTTTACCTTTCATTCTACCTAAATTTCTCTAAATATGAGTTATAGAGAAATTTAATCAATGAAGTTTTAGGGGTTTGATTCTTTTCCTAATAGTCATAAAAGGTTTTCAGGAGTTAAATTAGAGCTGTACAACTGGTTTAGAGCTGAATGACAGAACTTTAAACCCATAGGCTCAATTTGGCCCTAACTCAATAAGATTTTAGAGTGAAAATCATGTTTGAGTAAAATAAGACAAGTTGAGGTGATGTAAAGTAGTAATCGAGTAGCAATGGACTTAAAATGGATAAAAGGAAAAGGATATGCAGCTAAATATAGCTATAAGTAGTAAAATTATGTTTTTGGTCAATTGGATCAAATGACTAAATTGTGCCAAATGTGTTCAAATTGGCATATCATGCATGTGAGTTGAGGAAGGAAGCTTGTAACGAGCAATAGTAGTAGTTAAAATCCACAAGTAACCTTTCTAGTGACAGAAGAGTTGATGTAACTAAATAACTTCCTTTATTTGACTATTTGTTGTAACTATGTATGAGTGTGCTATGTAGTGCATGAAATGATTTTGAACTGAGCATGTTTTGTAACATTGAATATTTATTGCATAAAAAGAAATTTAGTTCAACAAGTAATGAAATTGGTGAAATTTGATATAGAAATGTGTATATGTATATATATGAGTAAAGTGGTGATTTGGAACTTGTGAAATGGGAGTTCACCCGAGTGGAGAGGTGGTAATAAGACCATATAGCATATTCTCCTTAGAGCTCGACGGGGTGTGGTGTTAGAAATTGTACCTCCTTAGTGCCTTTCGAGGTGCGGTATAGGAGAAGATCTCGTAGTACCTATTGAGGTGTGGTGTTAGAGATATGAGACTCCTTGGTGTCTATGATGATAGTGTTGTAGTCAACAACAGCCTATTATGTGTATTAGGGGAAACTATAGTCTAAAAAGTAAGATAGAACACCTTTAGTTAGGTGATTCTACTACTAAAGGTGAGCTCAAGGCCAATGAGAGTGTACATTAGTCTAAGGCGAGCCTATAGTTTTGTGTTAAGGTATTTAAAGGTTCGGTCAATAGTAATCATGCTATGTAATACTATATGTTGCTATATGCTGTAAAAGAGGAGAAAAGTGGTGAAAATAAATGTAAAAGAGATGAAATGACTGATATGAGTGATATTTGAAATGAAACTTGTAATATGTTATATTAATAGGTATATTATGCTTTATTTTCATATAATTGCATGTGATAGTCAATAAGAGTGAGTTATTCTGTTACTGAGATTTTTATCTCACTCTCATGATTACATTTTTACAAGACATGGTAGTGATCAGGGCAAGGGGAGAGAGATAGGACCAGCATAATGGTGCCGTTGTCGTGGAAATCTTTGAGATCATGTAATGAGCTAAGAGCTTGTGTTATATGTGTATATGAGTTTCCATAGGGTTTCATGTATTTTTTAAGTAATGACTTTGTGAAATCTTGGCCCATTTTTGTATATATATGATGAAATGAATCAGGGGCTAAACATTAGAATGTATATGATTTGAGAATGTTGTGTTGTTGGGTGAATCTTAGCCTTTGTGAGAAATTATGATAAATGAGTAATTTGGGACTAAGATTGCGTGTGATTGTGTTATGAATGTGAATATATGTGAATATGTTGAGGAAACGGCCATATAGGCCAAGTTGCCAACTGATGGTAGATCATGAAAGTT